GACCGATGAGATGGGAAATATGGGGGAGTCGAGTCACCTGGGAGGACGCAATAGGGCAGGTAGGCTCAGAGTGGGCTCCCACTGGACAACCGGGTAGACAGATTCTCCAACTCTCTGAAACGCCCCCTCCTCTGTCTGGATTCTGTCTTCATGTTCCTCTGCCCTGACATGGGCCAGCTGGACTTGTTCCCAGCTCCCCTCCCTCCTGTGTCCCCATTTCTGGGGCAGCTCCACTCCTCACCAGACACTGGGCTAAGATCCAGACACTGTCCACCAGTCCCCTACCCCACCCCATCTCATCCATCACTATCTGATCATCCCTCAAATCAACCCACTTCTCTCCATCTGCCCAGCAGCTGCTGCTGACCACTCCTCTGCACCCTAGGCCAGGTAACAGTTCCCTTTAAGGACTATGCCTGCTGGCCCCAACACCTTCCTCCCAGGCCTCTCTCCTTGCTCCATCCCCACCAGGCCTGCTGTGTCCTGATCCACCCAGCAGCCCCCAGTGACCTTTCTCTTATACACACCTGACGACTCTCCTTTCCTTACAACTTTCCTCCTCTGCCACCTGGCAAGTCATGTCATGGGTTCAAGACCACACAACTAGCCCAGGTCAAGTTTGAAATGGACATTTGGGGGCCAAAATGAACAGCCTGGAACCACAGAGTCAGTTGTTTATCAGATAGGAACTGAGGGCCCTCCACTAGGGACACACCGTATGGGTCTCCTAGGGCTGCTAAAACAAAATACCATAGTGGGTAGCTTTAAAATCACAGTAATGTGTTGTCCATGGTCTGAAGGCTGGGTGTCCAAGTCAGGCTACTGGCCCTGTTGGTTCCTTCTGCAGACCCTGGGTAAGAAGCTGTTCTATACTGCTCTCCAGCCCTTGTGGCTCCAGGTGTCTCTTGGTTTTCAGCTTCTGCATCACATGATTCCCTATCTTTGTGTCCCTGTCTCTGTACCTCTTCTCCTGTTTTATAAGGTCACCAGTCATATAGCATTGACGTTCCTGTGTGCTGCAAATGGTTTGTGCTTAACTGCTGGCCAAACGATTGACAATATGAACTCACTCCGCAGAGCTGTGGAAGAAAGAGCTGAGCTTCCTCTCCCAAAAATTTAAAAAATAACCAATCCATTACCATTACGTCAACTCTAACTCTTAGTGGCTCTACAAGACATCTATGCTGAGCAAATACCTACACTGAGCAAATAATCCCAAAAGATGGAGTATATGAAGAACATGGCGTCAGGTTTAAAAGAAGATTCATTAGCCACCTGTAATATGCAGATAACACAAGCTTGCTGAAAGTGAAGAGGACCAGAAATACTTCCTGATGAAGATCAAAGTGGTGACCACAGCCTTCAATATGGGTTGTACCTCAATGTAAAGAAAACAAAAATCCTTACCACTGTACCAACAAATAACATCCTGATCAAAGGACAAAAGATTGAAGTTGTCAAAGATTTCATTTTGTTTGGATCCACACTCATGGAAGCAGCTGTCAAGAAATCAAATGACATATTACACACAGCAAATCTGCTGCAAACAGCCACTTAAAAGTTTTATAGAGCAAAGATGTCAGTTTGAGGACCCAAGCCATCATCTCATATGATTGTGGAAACTGAGCAATGAATAAGGAAGACCAGAGAAGAATTAGTGCAATTGAATCATATTGTTAACGAAGAATATTGAAATTACTGTGGCTTGCCTGGAGAACTAACAAATCCGTCATGGAAGAAGTGCATCCAGAATGCTCCTTAAAAGCTAGGATGGTGAGACTTGGTTTCACATACTTTGGGTATGTCATCAGGAAGACCCAGACCCTGGAGAAGGACATCATGCTTTGTAAAGTAGAAGGTCAGTGAAAAGAAGGATTGAGATGGATTGAGATGGGCTTCAACATAATTATTGAGGGATTGACGCAGGACTCGGCAGTTTCTGTTCTGTTGTACATATGGTCATTATGAGTCAGAACTTACTTGATGGCACCTAACAACAATGACAACCACAACTAATCTCCATAGAAACAGACTCAAATATTTCTCCCAGGGATCACTAATGGATTGAAACTGGAGACAGAGCGCTACCAGGGATCCTTGATCAAAATAACAACCAAGAAATTCCTACGGATCAGTTCTTCTATGTAACACATGGGGTGGCCATGAGGTAGCACCAACTCCATGGCAATGGGGTTTTACTCATATAGGATTAGGACCCATTCTCCTCCATGACCTCATGTTAACCTAAGTGATAACACCACAGATACAAGGGTTAGGGCTTCAATATGTCTTATGGGGGACACCGTTCAATCCATAACGCAGTGCAATGGATGAGACAGAGGGTCTCTGCTGTTCCAGCCGCTAGGGTGAGGGAACTGTCTGTCCCCGGAGGGTGGCCCAGCCCAGTTCTGGCTGGGAAATTGGACAAGTAGACAGAGATGGTGTCTTCGGGAGGGAGAGGTAAAGCAGCAAAGCTGAGGTGGAGAGATGACCCGTGAATCCGGGAGTAGAAGTTCAGGAGATACAGGGAGGAATTAAGACCATATTTTAGGAAGGAAGAGCTGGGGAACAAAGTGCCCGGGGTCTGGTGTATATTCAGCATGCTAAGGGCTGCAGATGCAGGACCCACATGGCCTACATTTAAGTCCAGCTCTGCCATTTATGTAAGCTGTGTAGCCTTGGGAAGTTTACTTACCCTCTCTGAGCTTCAGATACGTATCCATCAGTCAGCACTGATAACAAAAGCACCAACTTGATAGGGTGACTGTAAATGTTAAGTCTGTTAAAGTGTGTAGGACACTAAGAACCACATCTAGTGTGGTGATGGTGGTGGTGGTGACGTGCTGTGGAGTCGGTTCTGACTCATAGCGACCCTGCATAGGGTTTCCAAGGCTGTAAATCTTTACGGGAGCAGAAAGCCTCATCTTTCTCTCACGGAACAGCTGGTAGTTTCAGACTGCTGACCTTAAGGTTCACAGCCCGATTAGTAACCACTACGCTACCAGAGCTCCTTACATCTAAATGGAACCGTACAACACAATTGTCAATATTTTATCTAAATGTTGTCTCATGTGCCTTTCTTCCTCCCCGCACCTGTCACTTCCTGTCTGCTTCTCTTTGCCCTCCTTCCTTTTCAGGGTCGCGGGTCGCGTAATGACCTAGACCACAGTCACCCTGGTTTAAATCCTAGCTCTACCCCTTATCTGCTGCAGCACTTCAGAAACTTGCCTTGGCTTCTCCCAAACTCAGTTTGCTTACCTGAGAAATGGAGATAATAATAGTGTGGACTTCCCCGGGTTATGGGGAACATCAGAAGAGGCTAGACCATGCGTGTAATGTAGTCATCCGGGGCAAGCCCATAATTAGGACTCTGAGAATAGATGTGGTTAGTGGGCTGACCCCTACTTTTCAAAAGAAAGTGTCTCTCCTGTTTAAACTCCTCATTGCAGCCTACGGGATCCTGCCTGCTCTTATCGCTGCCCTCCATCCACTTCTCCCCACAGGAGCACAGACAGCAACAGGCACAAAACTCATGTGAGTGAGCGTGTAGGACTGCATGTGAACATCTGTGTGCATGATTCCATGCATGTGAGTGTTATACACATGTCTAACTGTGTCTGCATGTCGGTGTGTATGCATGTGTGTGACTATGTGAGACTGCAAGAGACAGTTGGTGAGTCGATGTCTGTGCACACGTGTGTCTTGTGAATGTGCTGTGTGTATCTGTGTGGCGGTGTTTCATACACGTCTGTGTGGGTGTGTGTACATGTATGTATGTTACTGTGTGTCTGTGCATGTGAGTGTGGCTTGTGTGGTTGTGTGTGCCCATGCAGCCATGTGAATGTGTGCGTGTGTGACTGTGTGAGTACATGTGCATGTGACTGTATGTGTACACGTGTCTGTATGGGTGTGTATTTGTGTTAAAATGTGTGTCAGTGTATGCACATGCATCTGTGTGAATGCACATGAGTGCTGTACGTGTGTGAACTTGTGTGTGTAACCTGTGTATGTACTTGTGTTTGTGTGGCTGGTTGTGACTACCTGCGTGTGAATGTGCATGTGCATGCATGTCTGGGTGACTGGATATGTGCATTGTGTGACTGAACAATTCGTCTGTGGGAATGTGTGTGTTACTGTGGCCTGTGAATGTGTACATGTGTGTGTGGCTGTAAATCTGTGTGTACGAATGTATGTGCACATCTGTGAGTGATGTGTGTGTGCCTGTGCACATGTGTGCGGCTGCATATCTGTGCCTGTGTGTGCACACATGTGACCATGCATCTGTATCTGTCTGTGTGTAGTTGTGTGCGTACATGCGTGTGTCTCTGTGTGTGTTTCAGGGTGGGGTGGGATGGGAAGTAGACACTGACAACTTCTTGGCAGACATGAGCTTTGGGCTGAGTCTGAGGGGTGACCAGGAGGAGGTCCACAGTCACAGAAAGGAGATGGGGTGGGGTCGAGTTCCAAGTGGACAGGAACCTGGTCTGGGGAAAGTGAAAGCCACTATCTGACAAGACCTGAGTAGAGAAGCTGAGTTTTGTGGGTGCACTGGGGGCTGATCTTGGAGGACCTTAGGGAGCCATGGAAGGTTGTAGAGGAGGCAAGGCCTCTCTGGTTTGGAAAGATGATCTGGCTGCCCATATTCTGCTGTGCTGACAATTTGCTAGCAGACACTCCACTGGAAGGTAGCATCCTGATGTGATTGAGCAGGACCAAAGTTAAGGGCCTGGCTTTGAGTCCCAACCCCTGTGTGACATGGACAGATGATTACAAATGGCCACACTGAAACCAAGTCATGGGGTATCAAATGGTCAGATCAGCCAAAAGTCACAGAGCTTCCGAGTCCTGGATGCTGTTCTGTGCTGGGAACTAGAGCATGGCTTCTAACCCTAACCCTCATTCCAGCCAGATCTCATCTTGAGTGGTGACCAAGACCATTGAGTGGACAACGTGTCACGTAGTGAGTGCCCTGTCACCAGGAGAATCCAAGCAGAGACCCGATGGAGGAACATACATATGTAGGTATGAGAGCTCTCTGGGCCTGACACAGGCAGGAAGAAGGACCCCAACCTCCTTGTCTTTCATTCAGGACACGGGGGAGGCTTCCAGGCCCCTCTCTGGGAAGAAGGGTGAATTTCTAGGAAAGGCCCAGATTGGAGGCAGGGGAGGGGAGCTCCAACTGATTTTCCCAGAATGAGGACATGAAGGAGAGGGACACTGCCGGCCCCTCCCTGCTCTGACACAATGCCCTGCCCTCCCAGCAACAACAAAAGCAGCCCAGCTGGGATGCCGGACACTCCACAGAGGGCTAGTGGAGGGGAGCTTAGAGCAAGAGGAGTTCAGCTTGATGACTCCTCACAGCCAGGGTGAGGGGAGAGGGCCAGGGACCCATGAAGAACATGAAGGTAGAGCCCGGGGCAGGTGTTGGGAGGAGGCTTGGTGGTATTTGGCATCAGGTCAGGGACTGGGGAGGGGCTCCTGTGGGGAAGAACCCAACCCCTGTTTCCTGGGATCAGGGGAGGGGATAGCCACCAGGTAGCGTTGGATGAAAGTTGGGGGCCAGAAGGGGGAGCAGAGAGGAGGACTCGGCCATTTGGAGGTGATGCTGGGGATCCAGCATTGGTGGGAATAATTGAACTTCTGAACCCAAAAAGGGAAGGAAGGTGCAGGTGTTATTGGTGAGGGAGGGCTGTCTAGTGGGTCAGCCATCTGCAAAGGGGACCCAAGGAGGGCAGGGCTCAGCCCCTGGCCTCTAGTGTGTTCCTGTGGGTAGTGACCTGGACCCAGTCAGGCTTGCTGGCTTGTGTATGCAGAATAAGTGACAGACACTGAGCTGGACAGGGGACATAGGGGCAGACTCAGAAGTGCACAGATTCAGCAATGGACAGAGGGGCAGGGGAGTAGTTAAAGGTGCAAGAGGTTCACTTATACATCGACAAGGGATACTGAAAGACATGGGGGGTATGCAGGGGAGTCAGGGCCCACCAAGACCCTTCAGGGGGGTGTACTTGGGATTCAGGGGTCACTGAAACCCTCCAGGGAAAGTATAGAGGAATTGGGGTCCACTGAAACCGTCTGCTTCAATGCAGCTTCAGGACAGTCTCCCAGGACACTGAGGCTCTGGGTGATGGTAAGACAGACAAAACCAGAGCCCGGCCTCACCCTGTGCACCCCCCAACTCTCCCACACCCTATAGGGTTCGAGAAGCCCCCCAAGAAGCGATGCTGCCGACAGGGGACACAGCTTATATTGTTGGGGCTAGTGACCATCTCACTGTGGGCTGTGCTGCTGACTCTGCTTATCCTATGGCGTAAGGACACCCCCACGTGTTTCCCCCTACAACCTCCTAGACACCCCTCTCAGACACAGGAAGCCCACAACAAGCCCCATAGCCCAATTTCCTCCTCCTTTTCCCCACCTTGACCCTGTCAGCCCCTTCTCATCTGTTCACCCACCCTGTGGAGCCCCAGTCCTGCCCAGCTTTCTGGACTTTCAACACCTCTCATTTGGTATGCCAAAGGCTTTCATCTGCGGGTATGCGGGGGTGGGATGGGCACTTGATAAGCCTTCTCTCCCCTTCCCTCCTCTCTCTCAGACTGGGACACAGAACAGAACCTGAAACAGCTGGAAGGGACTGTCACCCAAAACGGTATAGAGGGGCTCTGGGTGGAGGGCAAGACACCAGGTTCTCAATCCCTATGACCACTATGGGCCCTCAGGGAGGAGATACCCCTCTCTGGGCCTCAGTTCTCCTCCAAAGGAACTGAGTGTCCGTGTGTAGTCCCCTTGCCCAGAGGCACAGAGGGGAGGGCTCTGAGAAGGGCCTGGTGGGATGCTAACATCTGCAGCTGCTATAGGAGTTAAGCAGTCTCTCCAAGCTTCAGTTTCCCTGATTGTAAATTGGGCATCATGTTAGTGCTGTGAGGTGGAGACCAGCTAGGACTTGGGAAGCAATTAGAAGACCAGCACCTGGCTTCCAATGAGCTTTCAATACCTGCCCACAGGTCTTCAACTGTAATTTGGGTGGGAGGTGGAGCTGGGTGGAGAGCAGGGGGTAGGGGGGGAGTTGTTGTTGTTGTTGTTACGTGCCGTGGAGTCGGTTCCAACTCATAGTGACCCTGTACTGGGTTTCTGAGGCTGTAAATCTTTACGGGAGTAGAATGCCTCATCTTTCTCCCGCAGAACAGCTGGTAGTTTCCAACTGCTGACCTTGTGGTTCGCAGCCCGTTTTGTAACCACTACGCTACCAGAGCTCCTTGGCGGGGGGGTGGGGAGGGTGAACTATAGAGGCTTATTCTTTCCTTGTTTGTACTTCCCTGAGCAATTTCCCCTAAAACAATCAAACAAACAAAAAACCTCTGTAGCCCATGCATGCACCTGTGGGCTGGGGCGGGGGTGCAAGGACCTGCCTTCATGGTCCTAAGGACACTTCTTCTGCTCCAGTGTCTAAAGTTTCCAAGGACTTGGAAAAACAGAAGAATGACCACATGGCTCAGAAATCTCAGGGTGAGCAAACTCAGGTTGGGGTCTGGAGCAGGGGTGGAGTGGGGATTTGACGGCTGTTGGGGCCCCAGCTGTGGACTTTAAAAGGAGTCTTAAGGACTCAGAAGAAGAGGCCAAGGGGTGGGGGTGGGGTAGGGGAGGGAGGGCTCTGAGGACTTTCTTACCACTAAGTTTTCTCCCCTGCAAACAGCTGGCCTGATGTTGAAAAACATAGACAAAATCAAAGCTGAACAGAAGAGCATGAAGTCTTATGGTGAGGCAATGGGGCCAGACTTGAGGGTTGTGAAGCCATGGGACACTGTGAGGTGGGACACAGGCTTAGGGACATTCCCATCTAATGCATCATCCCTGAGATCTGCCCGGCCTTTCTCACCCCAGAGTCTGACCTTTCCCAGCACATGGATGGACTTGGAGATGATCTGAACAACCTCAAATCCAAGAGTGAGTCTTGGGAGGGGATGGGGAGAAGGGACAAGGAGCGGGGGGACCCATCAGTTCATCTCTGAGCACTGACCCCTCTCTCCATAATCACCCAAGGTTTGAATGAGAAGCGTGAAGTCTCAGACTCACTGGAGAGCCTCCAAGAGGAGATTGAGAAGCTGTGGATAGAGCTAAAGATACTCAATGGTGAGTGTGTTCGCAGTGGTGTGTGATGGTCCGTGTACATGTATTGGCATACATGCATGACAATGCATATATGGTAAACATTGCAGTGCAGCGGTATGTTTGAGCGAGTTGGGTGTGAGGTGGTGCCAACAGTTTGTGTTTGGTTAGTATCCTAAAGATGAGTCGTTTGAGCCCTCCTGGACAAATGAAAGTCCTCGTGATCTGTTTCCATGAAGATGGCAGTCAAGAAAACCCTGGGGAGCCGTTCCACTCTGTAATACTTGGGGTCGTCGTGAGTCAGAATGGACTCAACAGCAGCTAGTTTGGGGTGTGTGTGTGTGTGTGTGTTAAAGCCTCCTCCCATGCCCACTCTCCACTGTCTCAGTTTTGTAATAGCAGCGACTAAGACAAAACCAACAGCATACTGGCAATTTTATCTCCCAAAGCATTTTCAAACTAGTCCCTTTCCCTTGACCACTAATTTACGTCAGGTTTCATAAGAAATTTCCAAATGACCTTTCTTTCTTTCTTTTTCTTAACAAACAGAAACATAGTCTCATAATTTAGAAGGCTGGAAGTCCAAACTCAAGGGAAGTTGTCCTCTGTTGAATCTGGGGAAGGTCTTGGTCTCTCTGTAGCTTCCTTGGTGGTCTTCCTTGGTGTCTGGCATCATCAACTTTGTGTATGTGTGTGGGTTTCAGTTGTTATTTTGGGTTATTTTCTTAGTGGGACACATGTGTGTGGTTATGTGTGCTTTGAATGCACAGGAGTAGTGTGTGTGATAATGTCCCCACTTCCATTGAGTCCATTCTGTCGCCAGAATAGAAGGACCCTGTATGGTTTCCAAGACTAAATCTTCATGGGAGCAGACAGCTTCATCTTCCTCCCTTGGAGTGGCTGGTGAGTTTGAACCACTGACCTTGCCATTAGTAGTCACTGTGCCTGGCATGTTGTTGTTAAGTGCTGTCAAGTTAGTGCCGACTCATAGCAACCCTGTATCAGGTTTCCAAGGAGCGACTGGTGGGTTTGAATCAATGACCTTGTGATTCAAACCAGCCTTGCAGTTCAGTGCTTTATCTCACAGGACCACACCAGGACCTGGGTATGATGAGATGCACACAGTAATGTTCTTTGGGATTCCAACTGCTTCCTCCCACCCAGGTAACAGCATTCCTGCACTTAACCCATCCCTGGGTCTTCTTGGAGGCAGAGGCCTCAGTCCAACTTTGTCAGCACAGCCATCACAGAGGACTGTTCCACCCAGCCAGGGAACCAGATCTTCAGTGATGGGGATGATGGGAGATGGCAGCTCCCCCAGGCGTGGCAGGGATGGAGGTGATGTTGGCAAGCATGAGGGTCAACTGGGTGGCCCCAGGAAGCAACAGGCTGCAAAAAGAACAGCCAATCACTGCACCTTAAACTGGGGTGCAAATCTGGGTTTAGAGAACCTCTGGGCTTCTCAAGCTTCATGCAATTGTACCCCTTGGTTTTTGGTCTTCCTCCTTTGGGAAGCCCCAGTTTCCCCAAAGGGGCAAGAGAAGAGGAAGGCTCTGCACTTGGTATGAAGGAGTCTGGTCCCTCAGGACACGGTGCGGTTATGGAAATCCCAGTGAGAAACCCCATTGTGGTCCCTGTCGGGAGGGGGGCGGGGACTGCAGAATGGTGACCTTCCAACAGTTTGCCTCCCATTTCCCATCTAGTCCCAGCATTGTTGCTGTCATTACCCACACAAAACACCAAACCCCAACCAGCAAATCAGTTCTGACTCACAGCACCCCTATGCAGGGTTTCTGAGACTGAGAATCCTGACAGGAGCAGACAGCTTCTTCTTTCTCCTAAGGAACGGGTGGTGGGTTTGAGCTCAATACCTAACCCACAGCGCCACCAAGGTTCCTTGTTACTGTTGTTGTTATTAAGTGCCATTGAGTTGGTTCCAACTCATAGCAACCCTGTATAGGGCTTCTGAGGCTGTCGATGCTTTAAGGGAGTAGCAAGTCTCATCTTTCTGTGACAGAGACTCATCGCAACACGATGAACAACAGAATGAAACAGAGCCCACATCATCCTGGTACTACGCTTGAGCTCATTGTTACAGCCATTTTGCCAACCCATCTCATTGAGGGGTTTCCTCTTCTTCACTGCCATTCTGTTTTACCAAGCACGATGCCCTTCTCCAGAGACTGGTCTCTCCTGATAACATGTTCTAAGCATATGAGGCAAAGTCTCACACCCTCCTCACTTCTAAGGAACATTCTGGATTTACTTTTGCCTGGACAGATTTGCTAATTCTTCTATCAGCCCATAGTATATTCAGTATTCGTCACCAGCATCACAATTCTCTGGCCCCAGGGTTTAGGGTCTAAGTTTAGTTCTGGAGTTGTCACCCAACTGTGTACCATACAGTCAGGACACCTTTCCCCAAGTCAGCCTACCCAAGGATATTCATTTCTTGTTGTAACATTGCATTCCTAGAGGGTCACATACGGGTTACTGTTTTATGTGTAAGAAGTACCCAGCTTTGTTCTGTTGAAAAGCTTTCAAACTACTGTGGATACAAGGTCCTTTAGAAAAATGTGACCCAAGTTATGGGACCTACCTGTATGTTACTATGAGAAAATTATTTTCAGTCAAAAGAGTCAAAGCACTAATAATGGTGTTGGTGGTTGAGGTGTTCTTGGACATGTCAGTGTCTGTGGCAATGGTATAGCTGGCTGAGATGTTCCTGACCATGGTGGTATCTGTGGTGATGGTGTTGGTGGATGTGGTGTTTCTGACCATGGTAGTATCTAATCTGAGGTGATGGTGTTGGTGGCTGTGGTGTTTCTGACCATGGT